ATCTTGACTCACTGCAACCTCCGCATGTGTTCAAGTGATTCTCCAGCCTCAGCCTCCCGAGTAGCTGGGACTACAGGCACACGCCACATGCCCAGCTAATTTTTTGTATTTTTAGTGGAGATGGGGCTTCGCCATGTTGGCCAGGCTGGCCTCTAACTCTTGACCTCAAATGATCCGTCCACCTCAGCCTCCCAAAGTGCTGGGATTACAGGCATGAGCTACCGCGCCTGATGGTCAGCTAGAACTTTTTAGTCAAAATTGCAAACCCTAGTTGTAATGAAAGAGTTTAAAATAAAAATAGAGAAAATAATTATTCAAGACTATTTTCAGAATCTATAAGACTACATATATAAAACATTATTTCTGTAAGACAAGTTCATTTACTTAAGGAGTTTGTGACTTTCATTAGAGTCATTGGTCAGTGTTTCTGAGAACTTTTGGAGACCATGGAAAATTGCTGATGTGTGACTCAATTTTTATTTTTGGAAAATAATAACAGATATTCATATCCTTACAATTCATATTAACAAATGTTAACCTTTTGTGTATTTGCTTCAGATGTTTTTTACAATTGAAATAAACATTATAGATAAAGTTGTGAAGTACTGTTTGAATCCTCAGTTCCATTCTCCCTTCTCAAAGGTAACCACTGTCACGAATTTTATGTCTTTCTTTCCAGTCCCTGTTTTTATACTTCTACTAATTATATATGCAGTCACAAACAATATGTAATATTTGTATTTATACAAATAGAATTGTACTGCAGGTATATTTCTGCAGTTTGTATTTGGAAACTGTACATTTATTACATATAGTTCTTATTTTTACATTGCTATTAGTCTGTTATTTCTATATGCTACATTGTATGTATCGATTCTACTTGTAACCTCTGAACTGTTTTCACATTTTCTCATTACCAACAGAGAGATTGAGAACTTCCTTACAAAAGCCTTCTTATGTAGGAGAATTTCTCTACAGCAGGGTTTCTCTACCTCAACACTACTGAGATTTAAGGCTGGATAGTTCTTGGTTGTAAGGAGATACCTTATGCATTTTAGAATGTTTAGCAGTATCCCTGGCCTCTACTCACTAGACACCAATAATATCATTTCAGTTGTGGCAACCAAAAATGTCACCTGCCAAATGTCCCCTGTGCAACAAAATCACAGCTGATTGGTTCTCCATTAGTTGTGTGTACTTAGAAGTGGAACTGCTGGTTCAAGTTAAAGTCTTAAGATATTCTTACTGGTACAGTTTTAGGCAGGATTTTTTTTTAAACTGTAGCTCCTGGTGTAAGGGACCTTGGCTTAGACCAGCACTGGTTTTATAGCACCAGGGGACAACTAGAGAGAACATTGTAATTTCAGTTTGAGGATGGGTTGAAGAAGGCCAGGTGCAGTGGCTCACACCTGTAATCCCAGCACTTTGGGAACCCAAGGCGGGTGGATCACGAGGCCAGAAGTTCAAGACCAGCCTGACCAACATGGTGAAACCCCGTCTCTACTAAAAATACAAAAAATTAGCCGGGCATTGTGGTGCATGCCTGTAATACCATCTACTCAGAAAGCTGAGGCAGGAGAATCACTTGAGGTTGCAGTGAGCCGAGATTGCACCATTGCACTCCAGCCTGGGCAACAAGAGCAAAACTCCATTTCAAAAATAATAATAATAATAATTAAAAGTAAATAAATAAGGAGAATGGGTTGGAGATTGTTGTATGGATGCCTGTATCCTCAACCTCCCAACCACACTAGACCCCTTCCCTGAAAGGATTTTCTGAACTTCTGTATCTGTCTTTTATTATTATTATTATCATTATTACTATTTATTTTTTGAGGCAGGGTGTTGCTCTGCCACCCAGGCTGGAGTGCAGTGACACAATCATGGCTTACTGCATGCAGCCTTGACCTCTTTTTTTTTGAGATGGGGTTTTCACTCTTGTCGCCCAGGCTGGAGTGCAGTGGCGCGATCTTGACTCACTGCAACCTCCGCATGTGTTCAAGTGATTCTCCAGCCTCAGCCTCCCGAGTAGCTGGGACTACAGGCACACGCCTGTAGTGAGAGGCTTAAACAGTCCTCTCACCCCAGCTATTGAGTAGCTGGGACCACAGGCAGGTACCACTCACTATGCCTGGCTAATTTTAAAAAACATTTTTTTTCTTTTGAAACAGGGTCTTTTTCTGTCACGCAGGCTGGAGTGCAGTGGTACAATCATGGCTCACTGCAGCCTCGACCTCTTAGGCTTAAAAAATCCTCCCAGGTTATCCTCCCAAGTAGCTTAGACCACAGGCACATGCCACCATGCCTGGCTAATTTAAGAAAAAGCTTTTGTAAAGGCAAGATCTCCCTATATTGACCAGGCTGGTCTCAAACTCTTGGGCTCAAGCAGTCATCCTGTTTCAGCCTCCCAAAGTGCTGAGATTACAGGCATGATTCATTGTGCCCAGCCTTAAAAATTTTTTTTGTAGCGATGGGATCTTCTTACGTTGCCCTGGCTGGTCTCAAAATCCTAATCTCAAGTGATTCTCCTGCCTTAGTCTCCCGAAGTGCTGGGATTACAGGCATGAACCACAATGTCTGACTGGACAACTGTCTTTTAAGATGGAATGGATGAAGGATAGAGAGAGCATGGG